ATAATTAGTTTATTTGGACCATGGGCATAGACTTCTATATGACTTCTTGTTGCTTGGGGGTATCTGTAACCTTTTGGGAGGACTAAGAAAATTTAGAATAATTATTAAGTTTTGACTGTAGTATTCTATGAGGCTGGATCATCACAGACAGCAGGCTGGTAGCTCTTCTGGATGCTGGATCTCCTGACCCATCATTTTCATTGGTGTTTAGTTTCCTCACTCTAAAGATGCATAAACTTTTAAAGGTAACAAACATATCTGTATTAATACAAGTATAGATTGTTCACTGTACACAGGTCAGTAAAGATATTTTTGCTATGTGTTTGAGCAGGTAAAATATATATATTACATATCTTGTAGTTCTTTTACATTTATTTTTTGTTTGTTTGTAGCCAGGATTTTTCAGGGTGGGGGGGTTCCTTGAGCAAACTCAATTTTCTTTAACCTAGAATGAATCCACAGCTTCTCATTCCCTGTAGAAATAAAAGCATAACCTCTCCCCCAAAGTAACACATCTTTTGACTTAACTTTTGAAGTCAAGATATTTATAAAATATATAGGTTGGTTGAATCTAGTAGTTATTATTATCTAGTGTCTCTTAGCAGCCAAAAAATTCAAAGACACCATATTAACATACAGGATCCAGACTCTGTGTATTTCCTATCTTTACATTGCTAATTATACTTTATTACTCTATTCCCTGTTTAAGGACCTTTTCTACCCTTTTCTTTCCTCTACCATTCCTACATATATTTTTTTAACATACTGTAACCCATCCAGAGGTTTTTTATTTCTGCCTGAATCTGTCTTTACTGCCTATCTATAAACTTTTTTGTCTGCATGAGCCAAACCCCTTAAGCTGCCATGGAGCATGTTGGCAGAGCTCTCAAGCCTGCAGACATTGGCTGGGAGAGTCTCTGTACTGTGGACTGTAGGAGAGACTGCAAGAACCTGTCACATGACTTAGCTCACAGCAGTTGGCTGCTGGGTCCATCTCACAGGTAGCTGTTGGGAGAAGTGACTGGCAGGAGACTGTGAGTCTGGCTCTCTGTGTTTAGAAACTTTTTAGGCTTTTTTATGTGGATCTATGCCCACAGTAGGTGCAATTTGTTGGCTGAGTTTTCCTGTCCCTGAAACGCTCTCAAATAATCACCCAGAAGCCTAATGTTAATTACAAATGCTTAGCCAGTGCCTCAGGCTTATTACTACCTAACTCTCAGGTTTAAATTAGCCCATGTTTCTTATCTATTCTTTGCTCCATGACTCATGACTTGCTACCTCATTCTCTACACATCCTGCTTCCTTGGCAGCTGGCTGGCATCTCCTTGGACTCTACCCTTATTCTTCCCTTTATTTTCCCAGTTTGGTGATCCCAACTATAATTTCTGCCTGGCTCCCAGCCAATCAACTTTTTATTAAACTAATCTGAGTAGCAAATCTTGACAGTGTACAATAGGATTATTTCAGCAAGTCATTCTCTCTCTCTCTCTCTCTCTCTCTCTCTCTCTCCCCCATACTATTCTTTTTTAAAGAAAAGTTCTTTTAATTTCTTTTCCACATGTATCACTATGAATGTTGATTTTTTGACCCTATAACTTCACTGAATTTATTAATTAGTACTATTATGTGTGTATAATCTTTAGGATTTTGTACATATAAAGTAATGTTACTTTCAGTTTTACTTACTCTACCTTCCTCCATCCTTCCCTTTCTTCCTTCTTTTCTTCCTTTAAGCACAGTATAAGAGACACTGCCTAGAGTGAACGTCCTTTCCTTGTCCCTGACCACAGGGGTAAATGCTCTAAGCTTTTTGCTTTTGAAAATAACATCCTGGCTTCCCCATATATAATACTTATTACACTGAGGTACAGTTCTTCTTGGCTGAATTTTGAGAGGTTTATTTCTATCATGAACACATGCTGAGTTTGCCCAATACCTTTTCAGCATCTGCTGGGGGACATGGTTTATGTTTGCCTTGTATGAATGCGATGCATCCCATTTACCGTTTTGCAAATGTTGAAGCATTCTTGCTTTGAAACATCCTGTTGGGATGAGAAGAAATGTCTGACATCTGTGGAAGGATTTCTGCATTGGTTTCCTGTTCATGAGTTTTATAAACAAGGCTAAGACGCTCCTTAGTCACAAATACCAGAACTTTCCTCTGAAGTTAGGAAAGTGTCAGTTTGGTTAAACATTGTGACACAGGCTGGCTTCTTCTGAATCTGGACCTAGCGCTGTTTAGGATTCTTGGTCTGTCCAGGTTAGAAGCTATGCTCTGGAGTTAGGCAGATGGCCAGTTTGACTGTTGGCCTAGGTGAGACCATAGGTTAGGCTCTGACCAGATGGTGTGCCTTGCTATTGGGCTGCTTGGATGTGTCGAGCCAAGGTTATGCTTTGCTGTGAGGCAGAGCCAGCATATTGTCCTGGGGAGTGAGCTGTCTCTGTATCCAGACTGGAACACTGGCTAGGAAGGGCTGGTCAGTGTGGTCCCAGGACAGATGGAGGCACAGCCTGGCTTTGCAGATCACAACAGAAGACTGGGATCTCCCATGTGTAGTAATAAGAGCAGCGGGGCTGCGTCCCCAGCACCCCGGCTGCCTGCTCGGCTAGCTTATGCCCCAAAATAATTACACGAACACTGTATTCTTTTAAACACTGCTTGGCCCTTTAGCTCTAGCACTTACAGGCTAATTCTCACATCCCGATCAACCCATCTCTAATAATCTGTGAGAACCAGTCTTACCGGGAAGATTCTAGCCTAGTCCATCCTGGGTTGGAGCTTCATGGCGTGTGTCTGCCCAGGAGCGGGGCATGGCATCTCTCTGAGGCATCTGCTCCCGAGAGGAGAGCTGTGGAGTCTGAGCTCACTTCCTCTTCCTCCCAGCCTTCTGTTCTGTTTACTCCTCCCACCTATCTTCTAACCAATAAAATGGGCCAAGGCAGTTCCTTTATTAGCCAATGACCTTCCTCCATCACCCATGGGATGTCACTGATAGTGGAGGCAGAGCTCCATTCCCAGTCTTTCATCCCTGCCCCATTCTTGGTTTCTCCTTGGTCTGCTGCTGAGTCATCAGTATTCTTCATTGAGGAAAACAGAGGGAGCACTCCCGTGGGCATCTTAGAGTTCTGGGGAGCCATATGCTCTCATTTGGTTCTGTTTCCCCACTATAAAGAAACTTTAGATTCAGGGTCACCACCTTGGAAACCTATTCCAGCCTGAGCAAGGGGCAATGCAGTCAAAATGAAACTGCTTACTTGTCTTTCTGATGTGAGTTTTGCAGCCCATGGGTAAGGTTTAGCCTCCTCCTCCAGTTCCTTGGAGTGTGGGCAGTGATAGTTTCTGCTTGGTTGTTCTGTGCTGAGTGTTAAATTCATGGATATCCTGACATCAACAAGATATCTTTTTAACTTAAGTATTGTTTGTCACCTCCTGACATTCCTGTTCAGACCATGGGAACATGCAATCATACAGTGTTAGTTAGGGTTTCTATTGCAGTGATATATCACCATGACCAAAAACAACCTGGGGAGGAAATGGTTCTTCTGGCTACACATTCACATCACAGTCCATCACCAAAGGAAGTCAGAGCAGGATCCTGGAGGCAGGAATCTGAGCAGAAACTATGGAATAACACTGCTTACTGGCTGGATCCATTTGCTTTCTTATATACTGGAGGACCAGCTGTCCAGGGCTGACAATGCCCACAGTGAACTGAGCCCTCCCACATCAATCACCAATCAAGAAAATTCCCTTTAGACTTGCCTACAGGCAGTACAGAAGGAGGCATTCTCTTTTTCAACTGAGGTTCCTCTTTTCAGATAACTAGCTTGTGTCAAGTTGACAGAAAACAAAACAAACAAACAAAATTTTAAAACCCAAACCAGCTATGATACAATGTGTGTTTGTTCTTCACAATATCTGCCTTTTCCCATGCTCCAGAGGGGAGAAAATGCAGCCTGTCACCTTTAACGATCTGTTCATCTTTTTGGATATCCATTTTCACATTTTTGACAGTTTTTTGAGTATAATTTACTTGCAATATAATTTACTATTTTAATGTACATTCTAATGACTTTTGCAGAGTCATGCAACCAGCAGCACAGTCCAAGTTTGGAACTTAGGCCTTACCCATCTCCTGAAGAACCCCTCACAGCTGTGGACAGTCCGTTCATGGTCCCCTTAGTCCATGCAACAACACATACATCTGTCTCTATAGAGAATTTCAGGGCATTTTATAGATATGGAATTATCCATTATGTGGCCTTCTGTGTGTGGCTTCCTTTATTAAGAAAAAGTGTTTTTGAGATCCATTCACTCACAGAATGTATTAGCATTTTGCTCCTTTTTTTGAGGAATAGTATTTCATTGTATGGATTGTTCAGGTTTATTTTTCTACCCTCCAATGCAAGTATATTTTAACTGTTCCTAACTTTTGCTTTCAATAATGCTACTAGAAATATTTTCATATAAGCCGCTTAGAATATTCCTTTTCACATTGAAAGTACATTTCAACTGTTCCTAACTTTTGCTTTCAATAATGCTACTAGAAATATTTTTGCATATAAGCTGCTTAGATTATTCCTTTTCATATGTACGAGAACACCGAGTCGTGAAATTTTTGAATCATAATTAACATTATGTTTCATTTTATTTTTGTATGTGTGTGGATGTGCAGTATACATGCATGTATGTAAAAACATTCACATGTGAGAGGGCTTATGTGTGCAGATGCACATGTATGAATGTGCACATGTGTGTAGAAGTCAGACGTTGATGCTGGGAGTCTTCGTCCATCTCTCTCCATCTTATATAACAAAGCAGGTTCTCTCTCACTTGAACCCAGAATGTGGAAATTTATTGGAGTTAATTCATTTTATTTATTGGGGTTAACTCAAGACCACCTATCTAATGTGTGTTAGTTCTTTATAGTCTTTCTTTCATTTCCACATGCATGTAGTCCAAGTCCTGATAACCATTTCCCCATTGTATTTTTCTCTAGGATGTCCACAGTACACGAGAACACAGAATCTATATTCCGGCTCTTCAGAATATTTAAATTGGACATTTCAGATGCAATAAAAGATTTATTTCCTTTTCTAGAGATTTTCCGTGACTACAATGTCATCAGCAACAGGCAGTATGACGTAAGTGAAGTTTCTTGCATCCTGACCCAGAAAAAAATAAAAAATAAAAAAAGATGGAGTTAATTTTTAACCAAAGTTTTCACCTCCATGCTCATTTTTGTGTGTGTGTGTGTGTGTGTGTGTGTGTTCACATAGGTTCACACAGAGTCCAGAAAAAGCTTCAGATTCCATGGAACAGGAAATACAGGCAGTTGTGAGTCATCTGATGTGGGTGCTGGGAATCACCCTGGGTCCTCTGTGAGAGCAGCACGTGCTCTTAACCACGAGCCAGATCTCCAGCCCCTGGACCCAATTTTTAACAAAGAATTATTGACAAAGTTTTCATAGCATTTTGTAGAGACATTAGTTCAATAATAAATTCATGAATTATAAATCAGAATTCTGGACTCAGGTTTAAAATCTGCCTTTCTGGGGAGCAACATGTGTCATGTAAATATTTCTGGAAGTGCTCTCTCATTGTATCAAGCGGGGGAGAAGCAGAGGCTTCAGGAGATAGATAGTCCTGCTTCTATCTGAGAGGAAGGTGTTCCATGGTCCCTTCTGGAATCAGGGTGAGTATTGTTGAAGACAAGCCAGAGCAGAACAGGGGTTCTCCAATGATGGGCAATGTCTTATGCATTTCACACCATGTGAATTATGAAATTAAAATGAAACTAAACTAACAATTAAACTAAAACTCAAAGTGTTTTTAATTTACTATTGAATAATTTTATTGAACTGACTTAATGATATTTCATTGAGCACATTTTATTTTAATTAATATATATTTTTAAGCCCTAGCTCTAAGAACAAAATACCTACAGGGTCTCTTTTAGAGCGATTTTTTGAACCTATTCATTTTTATTTTATGTATACAAGTGTTTTCTCTGCATGTGTGCCTATGCACCACCGGTATTCCTGGTGCCTCTGGAGGGCAGAAGAGAGCTCCAGATCCCCAGACACTGGAGATACAGGTGGTTGTTAACACCATGACAGGGATGAGAATCGAACCCAAACCTCTGCAGGAGCAGCAAATACACTCAACCATTGAATCATCTCTCCAGCTCCTTTAATTTTTTTTTTTTGCTTTATGAATATTTGGCCCTCCAGTAGAGTTCACGGTCAGAGGGAATGGACACGTAGTTTCCTACAGGAGGAAAGGTGGTGTCAGATTAACAGAACAGCATTGGCCACCTGCCATGTTAGTTAACTGGTTTTTGTTGTTGTTTTTTTTAAGAATGCACCTATTTTTATTTTTATGTGTACAAGTATTTTGCTTGTGTATATGTGTGCATACCATTTGTGTGCCACAAAAGAGCACCAAATCCGTTGTTTTTGAGTTACAGGTGTTTGTGAGGTGTATGAACGCTGGGAACCGAACTAGGGTTCTATGCAAGAGCAGCAAGTACTCTCGATTTGACCATATCTTTAGTCTTTCCATTCTAAAAAAATGCATTTATTACTTATTTACCTGTAAGTATGTGTATGTTTGTATTGTGTGTACATGTGTGTATGAGCCTGCTGCTCTGCATGTGTAGAAGTCAGAGGCCAGCCTGTGGCTAGTTGGTTCTCCACTTTCACCATCTGAATCCCAGTGATTGAGCTCAGACCATCAGGATTGGTGACAAGTGCCTGTAACCCACTGAACCATCTCACCAGCCCCATTGTTAACCCTTAGCCCTAGTGTTCCTTTGTTACAGAAAGTGGTTCTTCTTACATGTCATAGAAATAATGGTTGGAGCTCAAAATCACTAGCTAGTATTTTCACAGAGAAAATATGCACTTGTTTCATGAAGTAGCCATGCAAATATAAAACTTTTCAATAGAAGATATGTCTGTTGCAGATTGAGGTACACTAACTATAATTGTTTCCTAAGGTTCTTCTGTGACCTGGAAGTCTGCATTTAAATTTTCTCCATTAAATATCTTTTAAGGATTTTCAAGAATCCTGTGGAAACCTGATCCCTTTACGAAAAGTGGTCTACAGAGTCTTGGAAGAACTGGAAAAGAAACATGACCTGAAGGCTCTAGATTTATTGTTCTGTAAGCAAAATATGGAGGCATACCCTGATTTGGAACGCATTTTTGAAAGATTTAAAAATGGTAATTGGGTTTAGTATCACCCTTGGAGATCACAGTCCTTATTTCCCCTCAATAACCAAATATTAAACATCTACCATGTGTCATATACAGTGTTGCACAATCTGAGTTATAGCAGTTTAAAAATTAACACGTTATGTACCATCACAAAACTTACATCTAATGGCTAATGTTGACACCCTCCCGAGGTCTGGTAGGCTGGGTATTCAGGCTAAGACAATGAGAGCCCCATGAGCATCAGGCTATGGAGAAGAGGACAGGAAGAACTCAGTCCCTGTAGGGTAGCACTGCTGTGTCTCTTCAGTGGAGCCCTTATAATATTGTACATAGGAGGCCATCAGGTTCACTACCCCCACCTTGAGTGACAGCTCAGCTGTGGGTTGCAGGATCCATCTTAGCTTAGCACCACATGCTCATAGAAATCAACAATGTATGAGCCAGTTCTTCAACCCCATCTTGTCCATCTTTAAAGCCTGCCCATTATCAAGCCTCCAGATCTTAGACCTTCCCTCCAGGAAAGCCCCTCTTTCTTCTTATAATTGTTACAGCCTGGAAACCATGTTGAGTTTCTATTTTTTTCCTGTTTTGACATCTATCTTGCCTATTCTGTGAATACTGGAATAGGAACACAGCACAAATGTGTCTTCTACTTTTTCACTCTTGACCCTGAGTGCCTCCTTTCTGTATGGGAAGCATAAACTCTCCCCTGTGGGAGTCTTCTCTGTTCCAGGACATGCTGGGTAAACTTTGTCATGTTGGACAAATTGAAAATGGAGTGATGGCAAGAGTGGAAACTCCTAAATGTGTAACGCAGAAATGTTGCCTCTTGTTCCTGCTAAAGATCTCTAATGGTTTTCTCCTCTTCTTCCCTCTCCCTCCCACTTCAGTCTTACCACAGAACGAATTGTGGTCCGAAGAAATCGATAGAAGGTATCCGAACTCACAGCTCAGTGTTGAACAAGGTAACTATACCTGGAGAGAGGTTATTATTGCCACAGGGACCAGCAAGTAAAGGTGATCCTTAGCAGAATGTGACTTGGGGAAAAACAGAAAGCAGTAATGGGAGTGGGTATGAACCTGGTGTTAGCTTTCCTGCACCAGGACAAATTACCCAAGAGAAGCTGGGCACTCACATTCTGAGGCAGAAGGATTGTGAGTTTGAGAACAGCCAATTATACATAGTAAAACTCCATCAAAAACAAAAGAGATACCTGAGAAGTCAATTAATTTCAGTTCATGATGTTAGGAACTTCAGCCCAGATGGTTTGACCTCATTTGTTATGGTGGGCATGACACCAAAGGAAGGGATTGGGAGAAGCAAGGCTGTTTGCTTCATGGTGACCTGGAAGCAAGGAGGGAGTGTATGTGCCTGTGTCCTTCAAGGATACACCTCAGTAATCTAAGTTTCTTCAGCTCACCTCTGCCTATTAAAGGTAAAAGCAACACCCAGTAGTGCCATTCTGAGGGGGAAACCTCTAGAATATGAGTCGTGGAAGGAAGATGCACTTGAGATCCAAGCTGACCAGCCTCTAGTGTGATGAAAGGTACTGGCAGAGCTACCATGGTAGCAGACGGGCTGCCTGATAACCGTGAAGGTGGACCTGAGCCCAGTGTCAGCAGCCAGATTGAGAATATGACTACTCAGAAATAATTGTGATTTAGAGAAGCCTCTGAAGGAGGTGGCCAATATGGAACTGTGAAAGGTGAAGCAGTATGGTCCACAGTGACATCAAAGAGGAAATACTCTGTAAGAGAGATGTTCCTGATTTGTCTTGCCCTTACATGCACTGGTCTCTGACACCAGATGTGTGATGAGTGGGGTTTCCCACACCAACCAACTCTCCAGACACCAGCATTTAATTAAATTCAGATAAAGCGTTCAGTGCCTCCCCACTTGAGAGGCTGGTTATAAATTCTGGGGTGTGACCTGTGCTTCTGCTCAACTCAACATACATCAGAGGTTGCTGTGGCCCCTCAGGCTACAGAACTATTAGCATAGCTCATGAACCTTGGGGAAATGTTAACTTACAATACATTAGAAAAGTTATACCTCAAAAATAGTCAGCTAGGATGAGGGGAGGTGGGGAGATGACTCAGGGGTCAAAGTGCATACAAGCACAGGGCCTGAGTTTGATCCCCTAAACTCGTGTAGAAAAACAACTCAAGACACAGGGGCAGGAGCTGTAATCCTAGTACCAGGGAGGCAGAGACAGGCAGCTCCCTTGAGATCAATGCCCAGGAAAATTGATGAGGTTTAGTCCAGTGAGAGACTCTATCTCTATAAAAGGAGGTTGATGCCACCTGAAAAATGACACCCAAGGTCATCTTCTGTTCTCTGCACACATACGCACACTAACAATAACCACATGGGAGAGAGCCACCCCAGGGAATAACAGGGAGAGAATGAATACAACACTCTCTTGTCATCCCTGGGCACACCACCCTTCCAGCACTATGGAGGTTGCCAACGCAAAATCTCTCTGAACAGAGTCTCTTAGGATCTTTAACAAAAGTTCCATCATACAGGCATGATGAATAAAATCAGTAGCCATGAGATCAAGTCAACTTCTAGGTCTTCTCACCTTGGAGGTCAGGGTTTCCATGCTGTTATCATGTTTTGTTCCCCTGGCAGCCAGCCCTCCATTCCTAAGGACTTTCCAAACTTTACCTCTTCAATGTGCACTGTGGTGTTACTGAGGAAGGCTGGCTATGCTCAAGGGTAGACTGACTCTCTTTCCAACTTAATCACTTGGGAACCTATCTAGGATTTGAACAGGAACAGGAGATGAAGACCAAAACTACCATTTCTTAGTATGTCACAGTCTCACACTTCATTTTAGAAGAGATGGATTCAAACAGGAGAAATGTTGTTTGAGATCAACAACATTGCAGAAAAAAAGATAGATAGAGGAATACACACAGCAAGAGAGTGGTAGAGGTGTGGGGAGATTACACGGATTCACTGAGACAGAGAAAGGAGATGAATGAGAGCAGAAAGAATAACGGACGATGCCAGAAAGACCCATGTTGCCAGTTTCTCCCTTTGGTTAGCATCAAACACATGTTGCCCTCTACCCCAGCTGGTATAAAGTATTGGTATCATTCAGATGCCCAGTTTATAGATGAGGAAGCTAGTCTTGAGAGAGACTGTGTGTGGAGTGTTCACAGGGTCATATGAAAAGTAAGAATCCAGGCACTCAGGAGGCAGAGTCTGTGTTCTTGACCGTATACTGCTAATATGATAGAAAACATGGAACAGAAGTAGGGGAAATACAGAGAGAAAATACAGGAAGGAATAGCAGGAATGGGAGGGAATGAGACAGGCTGTTCCTGAGTCCTCGTGAGAAGACCAGCAGGGACGAGCCATCAGATATATACGGGGAAACCGTTTTATGAAGAGAGGTGGTCCAGAGACTGCTAGAAACTCAGGTAAGGTCTCTGGACTGGGAAGCTCCAGGGACAAGTGTAGGCATGCTATAAACATGGATGTGAAGACATGTCACCATCAGGTGCTAGGGTGACCCAGGCAGTGCTTTCTCAGTCAGAGCTGACCCTTACAAACTATTCTCATGACCTGAGTCTGACCTCAAGAATCATGGAGAGTTTCTCAGCTCCAGATGGGCTCTGGATTGATGCTTCAAGGCTCCTTCAGCCTTTGTATCACAAAAAGAGTAACCTGCTTCAACTACTGAAACAAACATTTGATTTTTGTTCTTTAGGACCTGGTGACAGCTGCTGTCAAGAAAGCCTGACCTGGTCACCCTCAGGTCCCTCCTCATCTGATGGTCTGTTCTCATTGACTCTGTTAACATTGCTGTCTCCTCCCATGTGAACTCGTTTGCTTTCTGTTGCTGTGATGAAACCCCATGACCTAAAGCAATGTGGGGAGGAAAAGGTTTACTTCATCTTACAGTTTATAGTCCACCAGGAAGGGACATCAGGATAGGAACTTGAGGCAGGGACTGAAGCAGAGGTCATGAAGGAACGCTGCTTACTGGCTTGCTCCCATGGCTTGCTTGGCTTGCGTTCTTATATCTGAGGACCACCCATACAGGGGTGACACTTTCCAGCGGTGTTATGTCAATCATCAGTCAAGAAAATGTCCCTGCAGATTTGTCTACAGGCCAATCCAATGGGGAAATTTGTCTCAATTTTGAGTTCCTCTTCCTACATGATCCTATCTTGTTTTGCTGACAAAACAAAACCAGCCCACACACCTCACATGGGGTGTTCTTTCCTCGTGTTTCTGATGTCCACAACATTTTCTGCATCTGTAGCTTTTCCAAGTTCAGGGTTTAAATATCAGAGTTTTGGTCCTCAGGTTTGACTAAGAAAGTTTTGTTTCCTGAATATGTCACCCATGTTCTTGAATTCACACTTGTCTGTCTGTGGCTTGCTTGACTGACTAGCCATGGCCTACATGTTCTGATCTTCTGTCCAGTGGAGGTTAGAGAAGGATGATGAACATGAACATCGGGGAGGCAGTGAATTTTCCCCTCTGCGTTCAGCTCATACGATCACGACACAACTGCACCTCCCAAATGATACCTCCACTTGTTACCAGGGTAACAGCTTGAGAGCCCCTCTCCAGGGAAGATAGACCACTGAGGGGGAAAGCTTTGATGTATTGATGTAATGATTGTCTGATTGATTGATTGATTTGACTTGATTTGATTTTCTGAGAGAGGGTTTCTCCCTGTAGCCCTTGGCTATCCTAGAATTTGTTCTGTAGACAAGGCTGGCTTTGAACTCAGAGTTCCACCTGCCTCTACCTCCTGAATGTTGGGATTAAAGGTCTGCAGTACCATGGCCTGGTTCTTTTTGATATTTTAATTAAACAATTGTCCTTCCTTAATATAATAGATATTTAAACTATTGCTTATTTAGAATATTCTAAATTCAAGGCATTGATTATAATATTATAATATCATGTTTATAAACAAAACTTATAATTAAATTACAATTATAAACAACTCTCAATATAATAAAGAATATGAGTGAGAATATTATATCATTTCCTAATATATTAATACAGGTATTCTTGCAATTATCTCCTGAAAGACTTTAAAATGATAATGTATTACTACATTTTCAAAAGGTAAAACGTTCATTTCATGGGATCTAATCGTTTACCCAACTAAGTGTTAAGATTCAATTATGCGTTAAGGTCCTGGTAGATTAGGAATGTCTGGGTTCAAATTCTACCTCTGTGATCCCAGACAGGTTATCTATCCTCTCTGGGCCCTGGAGTCATCTCCTATAAAAGGGATGTAAAAGTGATCCAGACTCCAGATGGATATCAAGTGATGCCATGAAGAGCATCAATACTCATGTTTGGTACTTCATCTCTGTTGGATGTCACTTGTTTCTTGTTGTTGTTACTGATTCAGTTGTCAGTGTCAGTTGTACCTGCTTCCAGAATCTAAGCTTCTCACACTGCATAAATGGGATTTCTTCTCTCAAGATGTCTAACATGGATACTCACAATGAAATCCATTATTCCTCAGGCTGGAGAAGTAATGATGGAGGAAATACCACCCTCACCCAGGGAACACAAACTGAGAATCATCAATTCTCCATCCCTCAGATTCACAAGGGTACGTACGCAATAGTATTTATTTTTTTTATGCCATGACTCATCTTTGCAAACACCTCTCTGGTTTTATATATATTGTAGATGGAGTGGTGGGCTGCGTTCCTGCCACCCGGCTCCCAGCCGCCTAGTTAGCTTATGCCCCGAAATAACAACACACAAATTGTATTCTTTTAAACACTGCCTGACACATTATATCTAGCCTCTTCTTGGCTAACTCTCACATCTTGATTAACCCACTTCTAATAATCTGTGTAGCACTACGAGGTGATGTTTTACCGGGAAAGATTCAGCATGTCTGACCTGATGGCTGGCTCCATCGCATCTCACCTCACTTCCTTCTACCCAGCATCCTGTTCTGTCTACTCCACCTATCTAAATCCTGCCCTATCAAAAAGCCAAGGCAGTTTCTTTATTAACCAATGAGAGTAACACATAGACAGAGCATCATTTCCTTCATATATATATATATGCGATGTATGTCCCTGGTGCCCTCAGAGGCAGCCAGAGGGTGTCAGATTCCCTGAAACTGAATTTACAAACAGTTGTAAGCCATCATGTGGGTTCTGATAACCATACCCAGGTCCTTCACATGAGCAGCAAGTGCTCTTGACCACTGTGACATCTCTCCAGCCACCAAACTTGCCCACCCCTCATACACACACACACACACACACACACACACACACACACACACAAACTCAGTGAAAAATATCTTTCCAGGGTTACCTCTGAAATAATTGTTATATATCTTAAAATCTTTCATTCGAAATTTTTAACATTTGAGACTATAGCAATATATGATTCTGTATTTATTGTTCTTCTGCAGGTGCACAGTGTTGGAATAAGAAGCAATGAGAGAGTGGGATTGTGGTTAGGGATGAGTAGAGGGACCAGATGCAGGGGGAGGAGGGATGCAAGAGAAACAGGTGAATTCTTGGTGAGTCTGTGTGGTCTGGAACAACCCTATCTGGTAATGACATCCTAACGATACCATTGACAGGGATGGATGAAGATACAGAATTATCAACCCACCACCCAGATGGACCACAGGGTGAACAATTAGACACCAATGTATGTGTCCATTAGTCTGACCCAGCCGAGACACTGGCTGTGATGGTCACAAATGGGGCTAGGACTGTACTCACGCCCATGGCCCTAAAAAAGCATGGGGTCTAACCAGTATAGATTGTAACATAAAGTGCACCCAGGTCCACATTGCATGTTAAGGCTTCTATAATTAACTTTTCAATTATTTTCTCTAATTTAACTTTGTGGACAAATAATTAAATGAAAACCATGAAACTGTACTGTATATTGTATTATTCGTTCCCATACCATTGATGTTGGTAGAATAGAGTGGGCAGGACAGACAGAATCAACCACAGGCAAGGGAGGTTTTCCGTAAGGGAAGAGAGGACGTCAGTCCTGAATTTGTTTGCTCTGGGACTTGAAGGCATAAGTCACAAACAATGCCACACCAGTTTGGAATTATGATTAATAGGGTGGTATTTATCTAAAGGGGAAAAAACTTACAGATCACCGTCCCAGACAACAGCCCTCTGCGCAACCAGGAAGGGAGTCTAGTCGCCAGTGGAGCAGGAAGTGAAGAGAGAGAGGAGAGTGAAGTGGCCGCTTTTTTAAAGGGAGAGAGACCATGCCCCAATGGGCTGGTATCTTGGCGGCTATAGGCTGGAGGAGCAGAAGGACCTCCCGCAACACATCCCCCTTTTGTTTAAGTAAGAGAGTTCTAAACCTACTACGAAATTATATACAATAAGTACAAATATCCTATTCTAACTAGTTTAGATCTTGTATAATAAATAACTTGGCCAAGTCATGAGAGAAAAGTAACTACATTTATATAGTCTTCAACCCCATCAAAGATCTGAGAAGGGAAATAATGTTACCTGGGTAATTAGGAAGTTCCGTAAAACAACTTCCAAAACATGCAACAAATCACAGAGACAACTAGCTACCTGGGCAATCACCCAAAGTCATGTTTGCAGCGTTGAAGCAACCAACTTTGGCTAAGGCCTAACATAAATGACATACCATTTTCAAAGGCAGGCAACTTTTCAAAACTATCTTACCCTGTCTTGGCAGGATATGACAGTCCTGTTTTATCCATTGATGCACGCTCTGTATCTCTGTCAGTGGTTGAGGTATGGGCATTTCTTTGTCCCAAGGCCAGTTCTACCAAAAAGAAAGGCTCCAGGTGGAGTGTCTTTGGTACTCAACATTCTCTTGGGAATAGAGCAGTGTTGCCAGGAGCAATTGTGTCTCACTATTACAAAACTCTGAGTTAGATTAAAGGCCATTTTCTACAGCTCTTTGAAGAGGTTGAAGACTATCTATCTATACTGAGTATAATCTCTATATATCTAAAGAACCTGATTAGTCTAATTATAAATGACAAACTTAGATGATTATTTATCTATATAATTCTCAATATCTAACTTAAAGACTAAGACAATAAACAACTGTGTAACAAATGAGGACAATGACCTCTAAATATAAACACTGTACAAATATACATTGCAATATGGTAAATATATATCAATACACAAACATTATATAAGTATCTTAATCAGAGGTAGAAATGTACACTGCAATATGGTAAATATATACTATATATATATATATCAATACAATATATGTCAATACATAAAAAAATGTTTTAAACAGAGGTAGAAACATGCATGCATACAATAGTCAATATAATTTAACTTTGTATCAGTATACAAGAATCGATACCAATATATTTGTCTAAAAACAGTAACTCATAATTACAAATCTATTATCCCATCATCCCTCTTTTTTTTTTCCAAAATGATCCCTGAGCTTATAAAATTCCTCCCCCAACCTCCCAACCCCTAAATGATGTCCCTAAACCCAGGGGCAAACTTTACTGGGAGAGGGAACGTTGTCCTCTAGAATTACTTCCAGCTGTCATCAGGGCGACGTTCTTTCTGGGGGATCCTGTGAAAGTAAAATGATGGTTAAATTTCAGGATCAATGTCTCTTAAAATTGCAAATAGTCTCTGAGTATTTTGTGGAGGTCTGGCCAGAATGTTGTCTCTCCTAATTTGTGCCTTTTGCATTTTAATTTTCTCTAACCCTATTCTGTAACCTAGGTAATTAATAGAAATTCCGCTTTGAATCTTTTCAGGGGCAATTTGTAATCCCCACCTAGGCAAGACTTTCTTTACTTCTTCAAACATCCTTTCTAAAGTATCTTTATTTGAATCAGATAACAAGATGTCATCCATGTAATGATAAATTATGGACTAGGGGAATTGTTTACGAATTATTTCCAATTGCTTACTTACAAAATATTGGCACCATGTAGGACTATTGAGCATACCCTGTGGGAGGACAGTCCATTGATATCTCCTATTAGGCTGAGAATTATTATAAGTAGGCACTGTGAAGGCAAATTTTTCTCTATCCTTTTCTTGTAACGGTATAGTGAAAAAACAATCTTTCAAATCAATAACTATAAGAGGCCATCCTTTTGGTAACAGAGAAGGCAAAGGAATTCCAGATTGTAGTGGGCCCATAGGTTGAATTACCTTGTTGACAGCTCTTAAATCTGTCACCATTCTCCATTTCCCAGATATCTTTTTTACAACAAACACAGGAGAATTCCAAGGGCTGGTTTATTCTTCAATATGGTGAGCATCTAGTTGCTCTTGCACCAGCTGTTCCAATGCCTGTAATTTATCTTCAGCTAGAGGCCACTGTTTGATCCCTATTGGCTTCTCAGTTAGCCATTTTAAAGATAGGGCTGTTGCTACCTCTAAAGGTTTGGTATTTGCTGTATGTTCCTGTACAGCCTGAATGGCTGGTGACCTTTTCCCATAATACCTCATCATATCTTTCCCAGAATTATGAGTTCTTGAAACTACAGGAATATTAATCTGGCTATTCCATTGCTGTAGCATGTCACGGCCCCATAAATTTATTGCGATTGGCTATATATGGCCTATTTGCCATTTGGGTCTTATGCATTCAACCCATCTTGTGCTTTGTTTTACACAAGATAGGGTTCCAATTCCCAGAAACTGAACATCTACCTCTTGAAGAGGCCAATTTGGATGCCAAGATTCTGGAGTAATGATACTTACATCCACACCTGTGTTTAATAAGCATTCAATAAAAGTGCCATTTATTCAGACTCTTAGCTTTGGTCTTTGATAGTTAATAGAAGTCTGCCAAAATATACGTTTACTCTGTCCTACTGGGTTTTTTGACTCATCCTCCATGCGTAATTCATCATTTAGACCAGTATTACTTTTTTCAGCAGAAATTGGAGCTTTTAATTTTCTTGGTGAGGCACGTTCTCCACTGTGACTGGGAATTACTGGGCCACTGTTGGCTTGAGGGCCTGCAAAAGGCCCCTCAAGGAATTTCCCGATGGTATCGGGTTGCCTTGTTTGTCTGTTGTTGACCTGCGTTTGTTGGACCAATGCTGGCCTTTACCGCATCGCCTACATATACCTGAAGGCTGAGGTCTCCTATTTTTGTCATTCCCAGAAGAGATATTATTCCTAGAAATTCTTTGCCTGCAATCCCTTTGCAAATGTCCTAATTTACCACAATTAAAATACCTGGCAGTTTGATGTCTCCTCATTGCTTTGGAAATCGCTTCTCTTACCTAAGATTCATCATTATAGCTAAATGTCTCAACATTCATCATATGCTGAATCCATTCAACCATAGGTGCTGATCTAGACTTTAAAGGCCCAATTATCTTTTTGCATTCTATGTTTGCATTCTCAAAAGCTAGAGATTCAAGAAGTATTTGTCTAGCTTCTGGGTCTGTTACCCCTATGTCCAGAGCCTTAATTAATCTTTGCAAAAAGTCAATAAAGGGTTCTCTCTGTCCCTGCCTAATTCTGGTATATGATTCAACCCTTTTTGCTGGATCTTGTATCCTATTCCAAGCATTTAAAGCTGCTTGGTGACATAGACACAATACTTCATTGTAATAAAGAGCTT